AATGTCATTTTCCCTCAGAACTTCTCCAAGTCTTTCAGCCTCTGATGCAAATGAAAAATGTGACCCTTATCCAATGTTTGTCTCTTTAAACCTACTTTTCCATTCTGTAAAATGTTAGGTTTTTCTCATTCTCTTCAATGTTCTGAAATTTATTAACCATTTATCTAGATATGAATCATTCACTCTACTCAGCACTTGATAAGCTCCCTTCATTTGAAATATAGCTCTCCCCTTTGTTGTAGACTTTTTCTATTCTATCTTTGATAATTTCCTCACCTCCATTCTGTCCTTTGGAAGTCTTTTTGTTTTTATTTTTATTTTTAAGATTGGCACCTGAGCTAACAAATGTTGCCAGTCTTCTTCTCTTTTTTTCTTCTTCTTCTCCCCAAAGCCCCCCAGCACATAACTGTATATTTTAGCTGTAGGTCCTTCTGGTTGTGCTTTGTGGGACGTCGCCTCAGCATGGCCTGATGTGTGATGCCATGTCTGCTCCCGGGATCCAAACCGGCAAAGCCCCAGGCCACCAAAGTAGAGCGTGAAAACTTAACCACTTGGCCATGAGGCCAGCCCCGCTTTGGGAATCTTAATAGTCTGAATTTGTCTATCTTAGATTAACTCTCTCTCTTTCTTTCTTTCTTTTTAATATTTTGCACCTTGCTTCTTTTTTACTCTATATTCTAGATCCTTGACTTCATCTTTCAAAACTTCTACTGAGTTTTTTTAATCTGACAATCGTTTTTAAAACCAAAAAGCTCTTTCTTATTCTCTGATTGTTCCTTTTGGCTGGCCAAACTGCTTTAACCTCCCCTCTCTTACCCATTTTGATAGCTCTCCAATTTGTTAATATCACCTTCCCATATTCCTCAGATTTGGGGGAGGCCCCTCTAGACTGTAAACACATGGCTAGCTTCTGCCAAGACTTGAAAGGCAGAAGTGAAGTTCTCCAGACCATGCAGCCCAACTAGCAACCACAGGAAGGAAGTCCTTTGGTTTCTCTGCAGCAACAGTAGTTGAGGTACCGATGTCTAGTCCCTAACTTCTTGAGTGACACAGAGGGATTTCCAGGGGAAAAATCTCCCAGTATGCGTGAACGACTTTGTCAAGTGCCTCACTTTAGTGTGGGATCAAAGATTGATTCTGTGGCCTTTCTAGACACTCTACAAGCTAACCTATGTCCCATAATAAATTCCTTTATACTTGGAACCAACAAGAGTGATTCTATTGTCCAACCCAATGCTGGCAGATAACAAGGAGTAAACTGTTTCATACTCATACCCTCACTTATTCCCCCTTTCATCAGTCAGCACTTTCTATCCATATTTTGTTCTAGTAGTCTGTTGAAATTTGCCAATGGCCCCAGATTCATTTTCTATTGCTATGGAAATACTACCGTAAACTTAGTGGCTTAAAATGACACCCATCTATTAGCTGGCAGGTCTGGAGGTCAGAAGTCAAGGCAGGCCTGACTGGTTTCTCTGCTCAGAGTATTACAAGGCTGAAACCAAGGTATCTTATCTGCAAGCTCTGGGAAAGAATCTGATTTCAACCTCATTCAAGTTGCTGACAAAATCCAGGTCCTTATAGCTATAGGTCTAAGTTCTCCATTTCCCTTCTGGCTTTCAGTCAGAGGCTGCTTTCTTCTTCCAGAGGCCCCAGCATTCCTTGTCACCCAGGCCCCTCAATCTTCAAAGCCAGCAAGAGAATCATGCTTCAATTCTGACTTCTCCTTCTGCCACCAGCCAGAGAAAACTCTCTGCTTTTAAAAGATTTGTGTGATTAGATTAGGGCGACCCAAATTATCTCCTTTTTAGTTAACTCCATCAACCGATTAGTAACCTTAATACATCTGCAGAATCTTGACTTGTAACATGATATATTCACCGAGGAGAGAATTAATAAGGGCAAAAGTCATTGGGGTCATTCTTAGAATTCTACCTACCTCAGCCCTTTCTCTTCAACGTCAGAGGTTAAAACTTTTTTAATTTTTTTGTTATTTTCAGAGGCTTTTCAGATGGAAGAGGAACTAACATTATCTACTCAGTCTGGCATATTAAACTAAAAGTCCCAATCACACTCGTAGTGAGTTGCAAATTTATTTATATTACACTTGGGTGTGCAAATTATTGAAGTATGTTTTCTTTATACATGATTCAATCACCCGTGCTAGCTGCTGTGTCCCTTGATCACAGCAGGGGGAAAAAACCTTAGTAAACTGTAAGTTTCGTCTGATTTAATGATTAAAGTCTTTTTAGATAAATGGTGTCTATTGTCAAAGAAAAATTGCACTGGACAGACTTAAATAGGCAAGCAATTCAAGACACTAGCAGTAGGGGAGAGATTGACCTCAACGACGCTGAAACTAGTGGCAGAGGTTTTGAAGCCTGGGGTGAGCTAGTGGGAAAGTACTGGAGGACGTCAGGGGCAGGTTGGTCAGTGTTATTAGGACATCTGTGCTTACTAATTGGTGATTACTGAAGTTAGACTCCATGCTGCCACAAAGACTGGGAGAAAGGGGCATTATCTTTCTTGATGATTCCATTTCAAAGGGGATGGCTCACAGGTCCTTGAGAAAGATATTATTGGCAGGAGGCTGGCAAGATTTACATCTCAAACGGGTAGAGAAGAATTTACAATTGAAAGTTTTCTAAAGTAAATGCTCTAAAAATAAAGGGAGGTCCGGGTCCTACAGTCAGGAAGAAACCTGTCTAGAGTTTAGTCAAGCTAAGGGGAATGTTAATGCCGCCTTGGTCACTATTACGGATAAAAATGCTTAGCATTTCAGATTTTCTCCCATCCCCTATTTCTCTCCAAAAAGGTATATGAGTGTAGGAGGAAAATGAAGTTTATGTAATCACGTGTCTGATGACACAAATGAGGACCTTGAACCCATAAAATGTCCGCTGGATACTTGCTGGTCACTTCCGCACTATGGCCAGTTTGAACTGCTCCCTGTTGGTAATCACTGGGTTTTGACTGGCCCTATTTGACTTTTTTTAAAAATGGAAGGTGTCATGTTGGCATCTCCCCCTGGAGTCCTTGGTTCTATTTGCTTCCAGTCTTGAAATCGTCGAGTTCTGCATCCTCTCTGTCAGACCCTAACTAGTATTCTGCCTTTCTTTTGTGTTCATTCTCTAGAGGTAAACACAAACTCTTATATGCACTGCATGTCTTTAATCCTTGAGAGCCAAGGCATTACATCCATTTCATTTACCTGTCTTCCACTGGTGTCTCTGCATACTGCTCATCCTGTGTTAGGCTTCCTGGGAGCCTGCACCTCCCTAACACTATTCCAGAAGTAAGCATACTGCCCACACACACATGTTCCAGGTGTTCTCAGTCTTTCCAAACCCATCTCAATGTTTCAATCCATCCCTCCACCTACTCCCACCCTCACCCCAACACACACACACCCAGGTTGAGATTGGCAGCTGACTTCTTCCACTGACTTCTGTTACTCTTCTCCCCATGACCCCCACCCCTAGGCCATTCTCTTCCATACAATTCCAAGGTCTAGGCCCAGCTTTTTATATCTTAATCTGGAGCTATAGTAATTTATGAATTCCTATTTTACATGACCAAATTGTATTGTTAAAGATGCTAAAACTTAACTCATGAAATTCAAAGCTTATCAATGACTTATTTCTAGCTCTAAGCACTTCCCTCTTCCCTGGGGCAGCATGCTTCAAAACGTAACTTGGAGGGGAACGCTGTGAATTTAAGGGAGAAATCTAATTCCCTGATTTAATATTTGTAAAATATTACCCCTGTCACAAACTCTTAAGAGATGAGGCAAACATATGGGATAGTCACCTGGCTATAAAAATGTTTTTAAAGTCTTAATTGACAGATACAAAAACAAATGTCTTTCAGCTAGACTAAAGTTCTGTTTAGCAATCTGTGCTTTCTCTTTTTAATTTCCATGAAAGCATGAATAATGTTACTTTTATCATCCCCCAAAATGGAATTTATGAACCTATATTCAGTTCACATAATGAATATTGTGTCTTAAACATGTGACCCTTATGAAAATGGTGTTATCACACACAGAGCAAGTATCATTATCTAATTATAATAAATAAAACACAACAGTTTTAATTATTCACTATTGTTTTTTTTTAAAGTTCTCTTCAGGTAATGTTTAAATAATTATATATACATAATGCATATATAATATATATGGAGATATATATTACGTGTATATATATATGTGGAGAGAGAGAAAGAGAGGGAATGGTGTTTGACTAAAGTGCCTTCACTCTGAAACCCAACTCACTTGTTAAATAGAAAGTGTAGATTGTCATTAATTTATTTTGGGTTTTTTAATTATAAGTATTAATAAACTAAGAGAATTCAATTTATAATCTCTTTTGGTTTCAGTATGAGGTTTTTTCCTAATGTACAATGTTTTAACATCTGACACCATTAAATTGATGATAAAGTTGGGAGTATAGTAGTATGTATATTAGTTATTAGAATAGGAGACTAGAAATGAAATTTAGTAAGTTAGAACCTTAGACCTAGGACCAGACGGTGTTTATCCAAATATCTCACATGTGAAAGCTGCCACTTCCATCATCTTTCATACTGTGGCCTTTGCCATTTTCTCCTCTCCTGTTCTTGACATAACCTAGTTGCGGCTTCCTCCCATGATAAAACGGTATATATATCCTCCATCTCTGTTTATGTCACTGGGCTATCAAGTGGCTCTTTCCTGATTTCAACTTCCTGAAGAGATTCCAGTAATAGGGCTTCTTTACTTGAGTCATATCTTAACTTGTTACAGCTCTCCCCTAGAACCTGGTAACAAAGCTCACAGGCAATTTGAAGTATTGGGTCAACACTGCAGACCTTGGAAATCTTATTCCTTAGAACAGGGGTCTGTTAAACTAGAGGGCACAGTTAATGGGCCCTACCCAACATGCAATTTAGAGATGATCTCTTCGCTTTAAGACCACACACACACACCCCCCCCGATTTAAGGATCTAGCTTCCTAGGGTTAGACCTCCTGTCTTCTACATCTTTGCTCTTCCCCAGCAGCTCGCTCGGATTATGCACGTAGTGGCCAATCGGGAAATGTTTGTGGAATACTGCTGAAAGTAAACATCACTCTGGGCTTTCCGATAAAGATGATGAATCATCACAGGATAACTTTAGCATCCAGGGCCCACACAGAAACTTGGCTGCGAGACTGTCCTAACACAGATTTCATGAGCCCTGCCTGCGAGGATGCCGCTGAAGGAACGCGAGAGAGTTGACAGCTCCGCTTTAGGCCGCCAGCTTTTCAATCAGCCAGCCGGTTATCAGAAAAACTCCTCAGAGAAGAGCATCGCTTCCGGAAGGAATGGAGGCGGCCGCGAGCTGTGGAATCCACACCCGCCCGCACCTTCGCCGCCAGCCAGCCGGAGCTCTGCGCAAGGCACGCTGGGACCCGCGGATCTCAACCACCGTCACCAAGGCAACCGGCGAGCGCGCGGTCGTCACGGAGACCGGCTAGCGCCTCGGGGAGCGTCGGCCGGCGGCAGCCTTCGCCCGCAGCCCAGGCAGGATGCTTCGCCGGGGCTCTAAGGCCTCTGAAAGGCGAAGGCACTTGAGCGACCGCGTCAGCTGGCAACAAGAGCAGGCGCTGAGCAGCAGCATCTACCTCCTACGAGAGATGGGCCCCACCGGCTTCCTGCTGAGGGAGGAGGAGCCGGAACCCAGGGATTTCCGAGTAACCACCGCCCCCTCCTGGCCTCGCTCCCGCCCGGCCGCCGGGCCCCCGGGGCCGCCCTTGTATCAGGCCCCCCGCAATCCCTGCAGCCGCTCGCTGCCGCACCCCACCTGCCAGTGTTCCAGACTCCAAAGCTATGCAAGTTACAGGGAACTCGAATTTGTTAGAAAAGTTTCATTATTGAAAGTTAGGAGTCCAAATTGAATCCAGCTCTTGGACGATGATGACCCTTAATCTTTAGGCTTGAGAAACGGAGACGTTCTATATGAATATATGGTTTGCATTACTGGCGTTCTTGGATCAGTTGTTAGCAGTCACTAGCCCTGTAACGCAAACGAAATGAAAATCCTTCAATCTGTTTACGTATCGTAAATATTTGCTAAATAAGATAAATCGGTTTTTCTTTACTCTTTAGTAACTCTCAAGCTATAACAAGAGCCCTTCAAAGTATTGTTTAAATGCCGATGCCTTGGAAAGGTCTTAATGAATAAAAATTCTTTTTAATTTTACTGAAAGACCGCAGATATTTCATATTCGTATATCCCACTCACCGCTCAAAAATCAGCTTCTGCACCACCTCCCAGGGGTTAACTTGGAAAATTTTAATTTAGTGTCATGCATTTTAGGTACTGAATACAGATTACTAGCCGGTGCTTATTTAAGGCATCCTTCTTTTATTTTGTTGCTTACAAAATATTGTATTTAATAAATTGTTTAGTCAATATAGTCTTGGTGAATAAAATTAGTTTTCCTGAATAAAATTAAAGTCAAACAAAAGTACAAAGTACAATAGTACAAAACAAACAGAAGTCCAAGATGAGCTCTTACAAAAGGTTTTGATGGCCATTGCAAGATAGCATTTCCTTTCAGTAAGAAATTTAGAGATTTTTTTTTCTAACTTTTAAAATTAGATTTCTTTTCACCCACCTGAGTGCAGGTCACTGAAAAAGTCTTAATTGATAATGCAAGTTGTTGACCGAGGCAAAGAATATGGAAGTGAAAAACCAGCCTAGAGGCTCGTGTCAAGACTTTAGATGTCCCAGTAGACTATTCAACATTTTGGAGTCACCTAAACTGAATTGAATTCTCTCTTGAAATCTCTTTTAATCCTGTTATCTATTAACTTAGGTTTACTCTAGCTCTAAAAATTAACTGGAGTGTTTTGGTTTTTTTTAACAATACATTTTTCCCTTAAAGGTTTTTCTAGGAAATCCTCATATTTGTAACTGCTCCACGTTTCTGAAAGGAGGGGAGCTTTGTAAGCATATATGCTGGTGAGTAACTTTGTAATGAAGATCTTCCACAAAGGAACATCTTGGTATATACGATGTTTTGCCTTTTTCATGGTTTGAGTACTGCAAGATTAAAGAAATTTGATGTTGGGAGAGTATAAAGGTCAAATGGTCATAGTTTATCAATATACTTGTGGATATTTTATTTCATTCTGAAATTGAGTAAGGTTTAAGTTGAGAAACATACTACCACCTCTGTATGTTTGCAATGTTAATGTTTTTAATAAGAAAAAAATCAACTTTTAGACTCTCATTAGGTACAAATGTGAAATCTAACTACAAAACAGAAAAAAACTCCCTGATTCACATCACTGATGAAAATTATGTGGCTCATTATGATGTTTGTTTAATTTATTTTCTAAAATAAACATTTGACTATGAATCTTTCAAGATATGAGTAGCACTCTACTGAAGATTACTTCTGTCAAATCTGAAATTTTTCTTCTAGTGTCAGGACCTATTTGTAGAAGAGTCCTAGAAATGAAAAACAAATTCTTTCCATTTAAAGCCAAATCAACTCATTTTGTTTACCTAAAGTTATACCAATAAATCATTAATTCTATTATTATAGAAAACTTGTAATTGATATTTGAGGGGGAAAAAGTTAAACAAGAAATTGAGAAAAGAGTGTGTATCTCATATTTCTAATGCTTTTCTTTTTGGCAAAAAAACGGTTATGTAGCTATTTCTAATGCTTTTATTTACCAAGTGTTTTGTTTTGCTTTGATCAGTTTTTATTGAGCATCTACTAACATATGTTATTAGCTCTAGTTAGCATAAAGATATAAAACATAGTCCTTTAAAACTTGCAATTTGGTTTTGTTATACTTAAAATAGGTTTTTTTCTATTTTTATTTTATACTAGTTTCCTCAGGGCAAGGGCATTCTGTTTTAATTTTTATGTAATGTAACTCATTTTTTACAGTATATTAAACCATAAACTGAATGGAAATATACTCCAAGTATTTAATATACTAAAGTATATTTAATATGTTTAAGTAAGAATTTAATATATATTTTCCACTTTAAAAGGAAGCCATATTTCATCTTAATTGGTGATATTTTAAAATATTTTTTCTGTATGCATTAAAGTGGTCTATGTAGAAAGTCATTTGGTACTCTACCCAGAAAATTGTTCCATTTCCAAAACTTCCAGGGAAGTTTAAAGGAAGTGCTATGAATACCTGAATGCCCTCACTAGCCTCTCTCTGTGAATGACTGTGTCATAAAAAGAATTCATGGACTCACTCTGGCAAATCTCTTTACTGCAAATATCTTTTGTTTCCATTTAGTATACTTTTCTCACGTATGCTTATTTTAAAAGATGAATTTAACGACTGTTATAACAGAAAACTAATGAAGTTTTAAGTTTATTCATAATACTTTCAGCAATATAAATTCTATAATGTTATTCCTATTCTGAAATTAAAACGAAATAATATCTTTTGAGATTATGTCAGAAGTAAATGTTTTATTTTTCTACTTGTGAATTTTAGGATCTTGTTGAAAAAATTCAAGCTTCCAAGGAATCATGAATGTAAGTTGTATTTTTACTAATTTGAAGTTAGGAAATTTAATCTTTTCTTTATACACATATTCTAAATTTAGACATTTTTCTAGACAATCTGACAACTCTCTATATCCCCATTTGTTACACTTAAGACAGATGGAACATTTTTCTTTATTAATAAAAAATGTAAATTTATGTATCATTTTCAAATTTAAAAGAACTTAATAAAAAAAGGAGTGAAACAACGGCCAGTTATTCAGTAGAAAAAATCTCTCTCATGTGTCCTAAGCAAAGACTCACAGTAGTTTCTGTATCTAAAATTATTTTAATTCTGAGAAAAATCACAGACGTAACTTTTTAAATCCCAGAAATAGAAGTTGACATGACACAATAATTTCATTCAAAAGTGTTTACTGACTGACATTTTTATGCAAGAAAAAATATATTTTTTAGAGTAAAATAGTTTTTATGTCAGTACTTAACTTGAGTTTAGAGTCAGGCATATAGTTGTGTAACTTTAAATTCTAGCGTCCTCAAAAATAAAAAAGAAAGGAAAATAATTTTATTACAGGCCATTTGGATTTGTACATTTTATAATAAAGAAACATCATTAGGGAAGTGTTCCCTGCCATCAAGGAGTCATTTGACCTAAATAAGCCCTAGACCTATCTAAGAACTGCCGTGGCACTTTTAAATTTATTAATAAATGTCCATAATATTCATAAAGAATTAAAATAATAATCAGTTTTTAATTTTTTTCAGAGTATTGGCTCTATTTAGGCAAGTTCATTTCCCCCCAACTATTAAATAAGTATAATCACAATAGGCATTTAAAAGTTATACTAGATAATAATATTAGTTTCGTAGGGATTTTTCTTTTGTGTTCTTCTCTCACTCTACACGTTCCCTGAGAAATGTCTCCCATTTTCTGTGTCTCCAGCTGTTACCTCTATGCCAGTGATTTCCATGTCTTAGCAGACCGGTATTTCCATCTGCCTTCTGGGCAGCTAATTTTGAAGGTCCCGCAGGCATTTTAAATACCAAATTTCACCCATATGTGCTCCACTCTTATATTCCCTACCTCACATATTGGCTTTCTTTTTTCTTTAGTCTCCAAAACTAGAAACCTTAGGATTCTCCTTGATTCCCACCCCCTTCTTCTTCTCTCATATATCTGCTCATTCCACAAAGTCTGTTTGTATGACATCCTACTTACTTCTCACCAGTATCCTCATCTCTCCATCCTCATTCTCACCTTTGTTCAAACTTCATCAGCCCTTAGTACTCTTCTTTGCAGCCTCCTTATTCTCAGTGCCTGCACTTTGTTGCTCCCTCCTTCACACTGTAGACAAAAGATTCTTTCTGAAAGGTCACTTCTCTCTACTTTGTGCTCTCTGTTAATCCCTTCATACACAACGATTAGGTTGTATGATTTCATACATGTTGTTTTCTTCTCTGTTTCTCCATTTTACCCACCTGAATTTAAATGTTTACATCCTTTCCAAAATCTTAGTTGTTCTGTACACTATTTTCCGTATCATTTTCAAAAGCTTTTATGCTGGGGCTGTCCGTTAGAAATATGTGAGCCACATATGTAATTTTCTAGTAGCCATATTATAAAAAGTAAAAAGAAACAGGGGAAATTAATTTTAATAATATATTTTAATTTAACCCAATACATCAAAATGTTATCATGTCAACAGATAATGTGAAAATTATGAGATATTTTGTGTTTTTTAATTGTCTTCAAAATCTAGTGTCTGTTTTACACTTAACAGTATATCTCAACTCAGACACTATATTTTCATTGGAAATTCTTGATCTTCATTTAAACTTCATAAAATTTTCAGTTGAAAAATAGTTCACATAGTACCCAAATTGTTACAAACATACTTATAAATGTTCCAGTAACTACAGATTATCAGTTTTCAATTTCAACATACTTATAAATGTTCCAATAACTACAGATTATCAGTTTTCAATTTCAATTTAAATGAAACAAAATGTAAAACTCAGTTTCTCACTCACGTTGGCCATATTTCAAGTGCTCAGTAGCCACGTGTGACTAATGGCTATCATATTGGACAGTGCAGCTCTACTCAGTTAAATTCAACAATATTTACTGTACTGCATATTGACTAGGTGCTTTTTATAAATTGAATCATATGAATTGCTAATATTTGGATTTTTTTCATCCACCAAAACAACAATTTCATATGGATCACCCTAATACTTTATATTGTTTTATCCTGTGTACTTCTTAAAGGCAGAAGCCATGTCTTCTGAAAATGAAAACCATGAATTTTGAAAATTCATACTTCCTACTAAAATAAAGATTTTCCATATCTCCTGTATTTAAAACTTTTAGTTAGTCAACATTGAGGAAATTCGATATGCACAAATATTCAAAGAAAAAAGAAGTCTTAGTGACCTTGAAATTTATCACTTAAATGAAAGCTAGAACAAAAGTACATGAAAATTAAAATAATTCAAAGAATGCTATAAACAATTATTTATTAGGACTATGTAAAATATGTACATAAGTGTGGAGGAGATGATTACTAGTAATGAAGGAGGAGTGTTTTAAACGTCATTCGTAGATTCTTTTCTAAAACAAATCTGGAAACAATTATTTGCACCCTGGTGTTATATATCAGAAACCCGAACTCTTTTATTTTTGAAGACCTGTAATCATGATCACGCAGGAATTTTATATAAAGATATCAGTTTTTGGACACTGAACATTCTTTTTCCCATCGCCCAACAAAAGTTTCCCAGCAAAACCTAGATTTATTACCTACTGGTTTCTTCTAAATACAATGTCTAGTTAATGCCATCTGTTCCTTTTTCAATTAAATATTTACAAATAAAATTAAAACCACATTAAAGGAATTTTTTTTAAATTCCCACCACTAAGATATACTCAACTTTTTTATTTTCTATTTTCCTTTTTGACTTTATGTATGCCTAACAGTCTGTGGGAATTCTATGTTCTGCTTTTATCACAACTGTTACCTTATGAATATTTTCAATGCTACGTAATCTCTGTAATTAAAGTCATCAATGGCTAACATATTTCACTGAATATAGTATATCATAATTTATTTAACATTATTCCATTGTTAAGCATTTATTTCTAACTACTTGTTATCTTTTTGTACTTGAAGATTTTTATTCTTTCAATTATTTCTTTAGCCTAAAGTCTCATTAACTAGATTTTAAAGTAAAAATATTAATATTTTTGTGTCTGCCCTCTATATGTACTGTGAAACTGGTCTTTAAAATACTTCACGATTTCTAATTTCAGCAATATATCAAAGTTCTGCTAGTTCTGTTAGTTTTTCGATTTATGTTTTAGACCCATTTGACCACGTTACCGAAGCGTGTAATGAAAGACATTAACAGCATAAAGTCCCCAAAGAAAATAATTAAAGATACGTAGAACTATTTTGTAATGTTAATAATATTTCTATAATATTATTAAAAAAGATGAAGTCACACAAAACGGGAAAAAATGCCAGATGCAAAGTTCATAATAACCTATTCATTCCTAGTAAATTAAATAAGAAAATAGTTTAAATTCTCCTATACATCTAACATATCCTTAGAAGATCTAAAATGCTTTCAAATAACTTTTTAAATACAAAATACAATATACTTTTGCATTTTTAAATACAAAAATAAATAACATAAAGCAAACAAAGCATAATATTCTACTTCTTTATTATCACTTATTTAGTGTTTTATTCTGTGTCTGTGCCTCATTCTCATGTTGACTCACTTTTCTTTGATGTTAATGAAATTGAATACCTCCTACTGCCTTGTTTCCTATTTGTACTTCTTGTATGAATTATACTTTGGCTATTTATTTATTGGGATAAAACTACAAACTCTTCCTAAATATAGTGATTACCCCTCTTTGCAAATGTTTTCCTAATATTGTAATACACTTTTATATGGCTTTATTAAATTTTGTTATACATATGGATTTTTTGTGTCTTGTTAAAGCTGACTATCTTTTCCTTTCATATGTATTGTTTCAATTCTTTAAAAGCTATCTTTCTTCCATACTATTGATAAAGAGCCCTTTGGAGGTTTTTTCCGCTAGTTTTCTATTTTATTTTTATTTCTCATTATAGCATCCATGTGTAGTTGTGTTGGTGTAAATTGGATGTTGGTATTTGGTTTCAATTAATTAAATTTTCTCCATATTGCCACTCAGTCATCTCAATAACAGTTATTGAATAGTGCTTCTTTATATCTTTGTTTCATAATATTTAGTACTTAGTGAATTCTTATATACTATTTATAGTTTTTTTATAATACATTGTGATGTCCGATAAGGTTAGCTACCTTGTTCTTCCATATAAAAGAATATTCTTTCATAGTCTCATGCGTTCATTTTTCCAAATTAATTTCAGAAGAATTTGTTTCTCCCTTTTATTTTCCAATTCATGTTATACCACATGGAACAGTTTATGGCCAGCTCTTTTTATGAACTTTTATGTTTCAGTATTTCTGCTGCCCTAAAAAATCTTTATTCCCAAAAGCACATCTTTTGTTCTTCATTTTCCTCCCCCTTTTTTTAGAGAGCATATGCTGCTGTGTCTCTGTGACAAATAGCCCTTATCCTCCAAAGTAATGGTCAATTAAAGTATGATACCCTCCCACGTCCCACCTGCCACCCCACCTCAGACAAGGAACAGAGATTTCTGTATTGAAATGTATCTATGATATTTTCAGTGTTTAATTGGGAGTCTTTCTAGTAAAATGGAGCTTTTCATTATCTAGCAAATAATTCTTTAACCTATATGCATTAAAGAATATATAAAGTGAATAGAACTCAGGGGGACCAATAACACCTGGCATTTAAATTACGGCAGGTTAAGGAGAAGGAGCATGGGGACGGGCAAGGAATAAAGAATTTAGGATGCCCTGATCAAAACAATATGTACTTAGAACACAATTTCTTGTAAGGACAGTAGGATGGAGAAAATTTAGCATTCAAAGAATGCACATACAAGGGTACAGACGATATAGCTTCTAATAGATTGTCCTGAGGAATACTGACCAAATCACTGAAGGACGCTTGTAGACACGTGAAACTGAGACAGGAAAATAGGCACAATTATTTGAGTCTTGCTCTCCCATTATCCGTTCATTCATTTACTTATCTAACAAATATTAATTACACTAATTACTCAAATATGCTTGTTTCCCCTTGATGTATTTGCACCTATTTGTTTTAATACTCGTGTATCTTGATAAAATATTTGTTTATGGACAAGTTGAACAGATCAAAATGTAAGACATGATTATAACACCAACCCAAGGATGAACACTATCATATAATAATCCAAAACTCTTCTAATGCACTGTTTGCACTGACTTTTCAGTAACAAGAAAAAAAAGAGAAAATTTCCATTCTTTTTATAAATGACTCTTCCCTGACTTTTTGGCTCTGAAAGAAATACAAAAGTGGTAAAAGTCAGTGTAATAATTCAACCAAAACTGTCTTTCTGATCTTTGAAAGAAAATTCTAACTTTCAGCATAAGTTGTTACATTTCTGTATCTTCAATTTGCCACTGAATTTTCGTACTTGGGGATTTTTCCCTAGCTGCGTTGCAGTTAGGTCTGGTGGAAGGAGAAATCAGTGATCTGCTTCGGGGGATACACCGAGTTCAAACTCCTCAACGAGGAACGAATGACACAAATGCACATATTGAAGAAGATGGGTACATTAAACAGAAAGAAATTGCTTCAGATGATATCTGCTCTATTTGTCAAGAAGTACTTTTGGAGAAAAAGCTCCCTGTCACCTTTTGCAGGTGACATGTTTTTTTTCTTTAGATTCTAAAAACTTATGAAAAAATTCTAATTTAATAAATTTGTAATTGATTGTGTTATAAGATATGTTGATAGAGAAACAATATATGTTTAAACAATTATATTTAATTGGCCTTCTTTTATTTCCTAATGTGTATGTTGTGAGATGTCCTGTTCTTACGCTAAATATTTCTGGGCTACATTGTAAAGGGTGAAAATTAAAACAACGCCACTTAATTCCCCTTTCCACTTTAAGTTATTAAAATGGGATAATTTTTACTTTTTTGTTTTATAGATGTGAATAAATGCCATAACTTCGAGGAGTTACAAAGAGTTTTCTGAAAGTAAAGATTAATTTACCTTAAAATTATAAAAATTCTTTTTGCTTTTTCAAACTTCTATCTTTAAACTTAAATAGTTCAAAATTTCACTTATAGACAAATGTTTATTGAGAGTGTAATATTTATATTATTCTTCAAGGCACTGTAAAGTTGGACTTGGAAAATTTGGGTAATCATTTGCTACTAAGCTTTTTTATTCTTTTTTTCACCTGATTATTTGCCCAAATTCTCATCCACATTGTAGTTTTTTATATGGCTATGCTTCTATTGCATATTTTAAAATTATTAACTATTTCCACAAATATTATTTCTCTCAGATATTTACTGAGTACTACCACATATTGTGTGATTTCTAGAAAAATGAGGTGACATCTCTGCTTTCTGTGATGCCTTCTATTTAAAAAATAATTATTATTGTTACCGTTTTTTGTTTTGTCAAGACTGTATTCATTCTCACTTTTAAAATAAAAAATAATTTAATAACGCAAAATATTTTACCACCATTTCATTGGACTGGAGGATTTGTTTGGAGTTCTGATGTACTAAATTTAAGATGATAGATTTATTGTGTTCCGATAAGATAAACAGATAAGATAGTGCTTATGTATATAATCAAGCTATATTTTGGAAAATCAGTTCAGAATCTATTTTTATGGTAGCACAGAAAATGTTATTAATATAAATATATAGATAGATGGATAACTTTGCTGTATACAAATTGGTAAACAAATTTTATTTCTAACAGGTTTGGCTGTGGCAATAGTATTCATATAAAATGCATGAAGATCTTAGCTGATTATCAGGATATATCGAACACTTCCATGCTGAAATGTCCTCTGTGTAGGCATGAGTTTGCACCCTTAAAACTTATTTTAGAGGAATTCAAAAACTCTAGCAAACTTGTAACTGCAGCTGAGAAAGAACGACTGGACAAACACCTTGGAATTCCCTGTAATATCTGTAAACAATTTCCAATTGAGGGGACATGTTACAAGTAAGTGTCATCAGTGAAATTATAAACACGTATTCCTTTTTTTTAACTTTAGGAAACTTTGAGCGTTAGAGCACCAGTCTTCTAGGCTGCCTTCTCCCTCCTCTGCGTAGTGTGTTTGCCTTAAGTGAGGGCTGCTTACTGGGATTTCCAGACTGGTGATCTCTGTCAGCTCAGTACCTCAAGAACTGCAGTTATATTTTCTTCACTTACACCAAAGTATTGGCCATGCACTCCAGTCTAGATTGAGTCTAAAGTAGCATCCTACCCTGGAAGCTCTGGACATAGGCTTTGTTGCTTTGGCCAAGATAAGTTTCCAAGCTAAGAGCTCTGCTAGACCTCTCACTCCTGTAACTTTCTTTGAACCACCAATGAGATCATGGCCAGAAGCTCCTAGGACTGAGCCAGAGGGATATTGACTAGATTGACTAAATATTTAATCAAATTCTCCCTACTCCATATTGCAATGAGTACATTTTGTTTTCTTTCGTATCTTATACCTCAACAAAAACAACAACAAGATGCAGGTATTTCTCATTTTATTGCACTTCACTTTATTGAGCTTTGCAGATACTGCGTTTTTTACAAATTGAAGGGCTATGGCAACCCTGCATCGAGCAGATCTATCGCTGCCATTTTTCCAACAACATTTGTTTACTTCGTGTCTCTGTGTCACATTTTAGTAAGATATGTTCATTGTTGTTTTAGATATAATGCTATTGAACACTTAAAAGACTACAGTATGGTATAAACATAACTTTCATATGAACTGAGAAAACAAAAACATTGTGTGACTTGATTTATTGCAATATTCGCTTATTGCAGTGGTCTAGAGCAGAACCTGCGGTATCCCCAAGGTGTGTCTGTACTTATTACAGAAAACAATTTTCATTACTTTTGTGAGTAATCTCCAAACTTTCCCACAATTGCCACAATAGAACATCTATTAATTCCTATGCTTAGAAAATTCCTTTCTTAATTAAAATTTGAGTTTGACTATATGTTTAAGAAGAAAATACTTTGTTTCAATCTTAAAAAATTTTTGAAAATTTTTACTTTTCAGTCTTCTTGGAATAACATTATGATGAACCCAATTAATATATCTTTTTAAACCCTCTGATAAGACCATAAAAATTTTTTTGTCACCCCAACAGCAAATGATACCTTTCTCCTTTGAACTGTTTTAGTCCTTTGTTTTCTCTATGTGTCACATAGAAGAAAATCAGCCAGAGCACCATTAGCAAAAGTTTTCATTGGAAAATGGCTGGCCAGAGAAGGCTGCAAAGGAGCATTTAACTTGAGGGAGAAGGGCAGAATTTTCATAGAGGTTTAGGAGAAAATGTTCAGCTGGTTTCAAGAATGTTGGCTAAAGAGGGCTCTAGGAAAAGGAAAGATTTGGATCTTCAGTATTGACAGCCATTGTTCAGGCAATTTAAATTTTTTCAAGAGGGATGGATAAGAACAGCAAAGGGCTGAGGTGACGAGTGAAAGAAGGGGTTGAGAGGAGCAGCCGTGGAGGGCAAGGACATGGAAGAGCCACAGTGTAAAATTCTCAGTCCTCGCAGTCGTGTATTCCTCAAATTGTTCTTTTGTGGTTTTAGTAAACTATTTCAAATCTTGCTTTGAAGTATTTTGTTAATGACAGTGCACTCCTCTGTCACTCTGAGCTTTCTGACTGATCTTTCTGTCCTCGTGGATGGCTCTTCCTCGTACACCTCAGTACGGGCATCTCCACTGTTCTGCTCCCTGCCCACTGCTCTACACACGCCTTTGAGAATAATTCTCCTCTGTGATCTTGGCTCACAATTATTCACCTCTCTGTCAATCTCCTTGTACAAATTCAAGAATGCATTTCCAACGTGTGTGACTTCACCCTCCTTCCATTCCTTCAAATGCTGACATTTCAGTTATCAGCGTGCAAAACTGTTTCCACAAGTTTTAGGGACAGATTGAGTAGGAAACAAGATAAACTAGAAAGCTTTTCAGTTCCTTCTTCATTCGAGTTTCACAATGTAGCTACTTATCTTTTGGGAAGTTAATTTCAAAAATATGATATATATGTTAAAATATAGAGATGGTTAACTTTTTCTAGCCCAGCATATTTTGATGTATCAAATAAACTGCACCATAGCTCTGACCAATTAATATTAATTATTAAGAATCTTCCCTGTATGTATAGATAGCAATAATGAATAAATTAGTGCTTGCTGCTAAGATGTCTGAAAAACATATTTTCCGAAATTTCTCATGGAAATCTTCTAAATCTTTGATAACTTGAGGAAGAATATAAGTTTATTTGATTACTGCTTAAAATATTTTTTAATGAATATTGATGCAAGTAAATTAAAATTCTGTGCTGTGGCAAAATTTTTATAAATGATATAAGTTTGAGATAAGCTTCTGTGGAAAGTGAAGTTTTTTTAGATTTATCAATAGTTTTAATTGAGAACTTTTTATACATATAGCTTTTTCCATTTTGTGAGGGAAAAGAGAGAATAGAATACAATTCCTGTCTTTAAGAAGTGTTCTGCTAAGTATAACTCTAGCATTCATGAAAGAATTGGAAAACACTGGATAATCAAATGGTAGAATATCTAATAGGCTGCAGATCCTATAGGAATTTAGAGAAGGAGGTAAACAAAGGCTAAAGTACTGCAGGAAGACATCATGGAAGGGATGGGTGATAGGGAAAATAATACCCTCCCAAATACATCCACATTTTTATGCTGGGAACCTGTATGTTAGGTTATCTGTCATAGGGGAATTAAGGTTGCAGAGATGGATTTAAGATTGCTAATCACCTGACCTTGAAATAAAGAGATTATCCTAGATTGCCTGGGCCCAGTATAATCAGAATGGTTCTTAAAAGTGGAAGAGGGAGGCAAGGAAGAGAGTAAGAGGGAAATGTGACTATGGAAGACAGGCACAGAGAGATGTTGCACTGCTTGCTTTGAAGATGGAGGAAAGGGCCACAAGCTAAGCTAAGGAATGTGGACAGCCTTTCCAAGATGGAAAGGGCAAGGAAACAGATCTCCAGAGCCGCCAAAAAGAAATGCAACCCCGCAGACCCCTTGATTTTAGCCTGTTGAGACCCATGTCAAACATCCATCCTACAAAATTTCTAAGATAATAAATTTGTGAAGTTTAAGCTGCTAACATTGTTGTAATTTGTTATAGTAGCAATAGGAAACAAATACGGGTTGAGATTTAAGGTAGGCTTGTCATATCTGCATAGTTCCCAGGAAATTTTGGCTAAATTTTTTTACCAAAAAAAATCAAAATAATTGGATTTTCTTCTATGTTTTGGTGTTTTTCATCTTTAGGTGTACCAAATGTATAGAATATCACTTATGCCAGGAATGTTTTGATAGCTGCTACCATCTTTCTCACCCATTTACATTTCGTGAGGTACAGTATCCATCTTGATTTCGTATAGCATTTACATTGTCCTGTTGTAAATCTGAGTAAAGTAAATCTAAGGATAATAAGAATAGATGACACTTTGAAATAGAACTGACCTGTTTTTAATAAAAACCTAAGACCATATTTTTAGGAAAGCTCCTCTTCATAGGGACTTACAAGGCAACTAGTTCTCACATTGGTAATTTACAAAATCCAGCACAATAACAAACATCTGATGACATTATACATAAATCCTAAAGATAGGAATTGCAGCCATCAAACTTGAAAGTTCATTTTTAAAAAAGATCTTGGCATTACAAATTGACTTACCATAACCTTAACAACCATTTGTGGTTTTAAAATTTCTTACATCAACAATAATGAAATTCATGGAATTCTATGCAAACTTTTGAACCATACACTTAAAAAGTAAGTATCTCCTGGTGCTAAAGAAAAATGCAACTTTCTACTTACTACGAAAGGTAAAACATCTACAGTTCCCATTATCAATTAATATTTTTACCTTAAAAAGTAATGTTGTTATAGTAGCTGTGCAATAGTATATTAGCCTCACTAATAATTTCTAAATTCTTTAATGTGGTAAAAAAAAATAGGTCTGTTAAAAAATGATGTCTTTATTATTCATATTATTATGTTATTGATATTCAACTTACTAATTTTAATCTACAAAATAAAAATTTCAATGATTTGCAAAGTAACATCTACTTTTTACCTATTACAGAAGAGAAATCAAAGATGGAAGTCACTGGAAGGAAGATCAGATGAAATTGTAAAAAATAGAGATGTTAAAAATGAGATAGAAGAAAAGATGCCACATTTTCAAGAAAAGCAAGGGTAAGATTCTCACTGAAGTTTACATTTCTTGTATGAGTGGGGATATTTAAATGATTTTTCAGTTTGAACAAGTTTTATTCATTCCTTTATTCGATAAATATGTATTGAGCACTTATTATACACCAGATGACACTATAATGTGCAAGTGAAGCCCGAGGCTCTAGAGTCCGGCTGTCTGAATCCAGTCCTATTTCAACCGCAAGTTGGCTATTGTGACTTTTGGCCTAATTACTTCAGTTCTCTCCACCAAATATTTTTCATCTTTAAAATGGGGATAATTATAGAACCAGCCTCATAGGAATTTTGTGAGCATGTAATGAATTAATACACACAGTAAATATTCAAATAACGTCTATTATTATTATTAATTCTACCAGAGATTGTACTAGATATTAGGAAGATAGATGTTTCCTCAGTAATTAAATGATCATCTAAATAAATGTAAAATTAAAACTGACATAAGTTATATAAAGAAAAAATATAGCGGGATTTGATATTTGCTTTGAAGTAATTGGCCTCTAGGGGAAGGAAGTCTTCTCCGCCTCATTCCCCGTCTCTTCCACCTGCCTGGAGGAAGAGAGCTGAGTGGGTTGGTTGTATTTCAGAGCACTGGGCTATTTACTAGTCGACAGGCCTCCAGACCTTGCGTCATACTCCTTATCCATTAAAGAACATTAAACATGCTATGTATTATTAACATATTAGGTACACTATAAAACATACAAAAGAGAGATCATTTAAAAGGATGGGATAAAATTGAAATAATCAAAAAAATGATTTCAATGAATTAACACAAAGAAATTTTGCTTATGTGTATATATATATATATTTATATGTATATTTCTATCCAACCCAGTAGATATTTAGCCTGAGGTTACTCCACCCTCTCAAGACCACCGTTCCTGTGGAGCGTAAAATGCCTTGTGGGTATAAAATGAGCCTATACAAGGGCTCTCCAGCTCCATTTCCCCTGACCCTGGCTAGGTATCACACTTCAACCTATTAGAATGAGAAATTGTGTAACTAAGAATTTAGGAGATATTGTTGGGGGAAGCAAGAGAATATTATGGGTAGAAGGACATTCTAGGCAGAGAAAGCAGAATAAATGAAAGAGTTTCAAGATAAAGAAAGTGGTTAACATGGGGCCAGCCCGTGGTGTAGTGGTTAAGTTTGTGCGCTCTGCTTAGGTAGCCTGGAGTTCACAGGTTTGGATCCTGGGCGTGGACCTAGCAGTGCTGGTCAAACCATGCTGTGGTGGCATCCCACATAAACTGGAGGAAGATGGGCACAGATGTTAGTTCAGCAACAGTTTTCCTCAAGCAAAAAGAGAAAGATTGGCAACAGATGTTAGCTCAGGGCCAATCTTCCTCACACACAAAAAAAAGTGGTTAACAACCTTAAATAATAATAAAAATACACAGTTTCTTTTTTTTCACTTGATAAATAGATGACTTTGGTAAAAGGAATTTCTGTAGCATGGTGGAAGTATAACTACAGAGTAATAAGAAGTGTAAACTTTTCTGAAGAATACATTTGAACTTTGTTCTGAATTACTTTTGAATAATATAGAAATGTATCTAACCTTTTAACCAAGATTTTGTTTTTAAATATTTGTTTTATCTGTTGCTAATGCATCAAATAGCAGTTAATTTACATTATATGATCTTAGCTATGTTGGTTGGTACTTTTAGATTCATATTAACATGGTGCAACAATACTGAAGTAGCAAGTCTATACCCCAAGGGAAAATGAGTTTCCTCATAGATTACGATCTACCAATTTTCATAGTAGCCTGGAATATTTCATGTGGCTTACCGTGCACCTAACTTCCTACCAGATGGCTGAGTGAATTGGGTTGTATTTTTCTAAACGCAAGCTTAAGTATTTGCTCAGACTGAAATAATTTGAGTATATGCTTCTCTGATTTCACTGATGTGAAAAGTGCAAATCAAAAAATTTCAGGTGGGTATTTTTATTTGAAGTGACTAAATTGAATTTTGTTCTTTATGAAGTTGATGTTAAAGTTGGGTCCATCTTGTTCAGGATCAATACAATAGATTTTTTTTAACTTTACAATGTATGAGATTTATTATCTTCAGTTCAAGAAAACATTGCATGCGTTTGCATTATTTATATGGAGGTTATTACCTGTGCTGTTGATTACTTCCCGATCTGTAATCACATGTGAACATCTGTGTCTCTCTGCTGCTTCTCATTCAGCCAGGTTTACACACCCAAACACGTGGTAAAGTCACTGCCTCTCATACTGATTACAAAGAAGAGTAAGCTGCTTGCTCCAGGTTTCCAGTGTCGGCTTTGTTTGAAGGCATTTTGTCTTGGTCAACATACAAGATTGCTACCATGTACTCACAAGGTAGAAGTCATATCCTTTTAGTTTGACTTTCCCTGTAGGGCCAGTTTTCACAAATGAAATGACAATGTAAGTCTCTCCTTTTACTCTTTTAGTCGTGTTATGTGCAGAGATGTCCAAATTGAACAGTATCCATAGGAGAGTTTCAGCAGACACTATTGCGAAGGCAGCTCTGCGCACTAAGGATGGCTTCCTATTGACTAGGACTCGTTTCTGTGTATACTGTCTAGGAAAGATAAAATGGCATTTTAAATTAGATTCTTTTATCTACATTTGATATTAGTAAAAAAAAAAAAGCTTATAGAATACTAACTTCATGTATTTTTTTTATTCTTTGGATGGAACAGAAATGCTTAATTTGACATGGTTAATTAGTATTTCAAATGAACTTGTTACAGCACCAAGTGAGTCCTCTCCTTGGTAAAGTAAAATCAAAACCTACACCAGGAATAGTTGTCATACAAAGCAGAATTTTATTTACATCATGCAGCAAACAAAATGGAGACCATAGGGAATAATTTCACGGAGCTATGGCTCCCTGAACAAGGAGAATTCATGCCTTTTATTTGGGGTAGAGAATGAATATGCAAGAGGGAAATTTTGTTATTCCATGTAGAGGTGGGCGTGGACTGGCGCATGTGCAGTTTAAATACGTTTCCACCTACATCACACATCGTGTTAATAAGGCTGTAGCTCCTCTCGGGTCAGTGAGTCTAGTACAATAATGAAGCAAAGGTTACTTTTGTACATTTTTTCATTCTTTGGCACAGGTGTTCTTCCTGTGGTATGGTTTGGGCCAGTCTGAGCCAGTTTAAGCCGGTGGGTGGCTGTTCATCCCCCTGAAAAACAACTTTAAGGAACAATTAAATGTTGTTGGAACTTCCTTTAAGAAACTCGGGGCAGATAGCTGGTGACAGACTCACTGGAATCAAAGTCTAGCATTGCTTGATCTCTATATAGTTGGTAACCTGTACGGTAAACTGTGTAGTGTATTTTCTGAGATAAAGTTGTTTCAGTAAATAAACATTTGTAGCTTTAGAATCACCCTTGCTTAAAATGTCTGAAAGTTTTTCTTCCCAAGAATGTGGTTTGTTCTTTTGTATCTTACCATCACAGATCCATTTTCAACTCCAGTTAGTTATGACTGTTTTTATTACTTAATAATTTTCATTCATTAGAAAGCAACAGTGAAAGTAATGGCTTGAGTAAGTAGTGAGTTTTTAACAAAATTACAAAAATGATTATCTGTGGAAAGCTTTCCATTTTAATGTTGAAAATGGAGATCAGCCCATAACCAATTGTATTTTTAAGAGAATCTCTTCAAAATATTTCCAATAAACTTGATAAATTATAATTACCTTCCAATTTAGCTAAATAGTTGTAATAGTAACACAATAATGAAAGTGGGGAAAATTTACATAGGCAATATACATTATAAACATGATAATTATATCTCTGATTAACATAACTTTTTTTTTTAAGTTTCATAGGAAATGTATTGACAGTTGGTTATTCCGAAAGTGCAATTCATGCCCCATTGATGGACAAGTTATATATAATCCTTTAATCTGGAACAATACAGCAGTGAATGGACACGCACATCAGTCTGTTTCAAACACAGACATCACTCATCTGTCAAAGCAGCAAGAATCAGAACTTTTTATTCCTGGTACTGGATTAGTCTTAAAACAAAATAGACTTGGAATTTTACCTGGCATACCTGAATGTAATTCTGAAAAGTTAAATACACCTCAAAGTCCGACAGATACCTATCAGAATATAACAGTTGATGATCTATTCTCTATCAAATTAGATGATTCAAATTCAAGAAAATTAGTCTATGAATATAAAATTAGCCAGCATTTCCCCAGGTATCTTCAAGATTTACCGTCTGGATCCTTTGGGAAAATATCATCTCAAACATTTCTTCCTTCCATTGCTCACAAGAATATTATATGTCCCGCTGGAATGGAAATCCCATGTATCAATGAAAAATACCACACTCGTCAAAGCCAGAAGATGACCAAAGACTGTAAACGTATTAAGCACAATCCAAAGAAAACTCTTGGTACTAAAATAAGAGAGAACAACACGAGATCAAATTCTTTCCTTCCAGAAGATTTAAATCATATTGCCAACTGGGATACAACTAAACCTAATTTGTCTAAAAGGTATAATAATTGTACGGGGAAAATTAGACAAAAATGTAGTCATCTATCAAGAAGGCCTATATCTCACCCTTTAAATACAAAAAGTACTGAGCTATCTTTAATACTGGAGGGAATTCAGTTATAAAAATGTATTTTTGATTAACATCAGAAAATATTTGAATATGGAACATAAGAATGTTTTATGTAGAACATAAAAAACACTACATACTCGTGACAAATGTATAGAAAATTCTCTGTTGTTATTTTCCCTACTCGTCTCTGAATAATGACACTTAAAGGAAATGACCCCATTCCTTATAAAACTTAGAGCATCAGGTGTCTTGATGAAAATGTTCAGGATGTTTTGAATTATAAATAATTTTTGGAACTTTTATATCTGATTTTACACTAATTAAAATAATTACTTTTGCTAAAACTAAGAAAATAGGTTTTCCTTGTGTTGAGTCACTGTTTTCAAGCATTCCACTTGGTAGCATATAACATGCAGGGATTCTTTCCAGGTACTTAGATGTTTTTTGCATTTTCTTGCACTAATAATCACCACAAACTTAGAGATAAGTCCAGATGGTAGTTTTCTTTTTTATTTTATTTCCTTAAAGAAGTCTTCTTATATGTTAAATGAAATAAAAAATACTTATAATGCTATAAGCTATGCCAAGTTAATAACGGTTTTACTGTTTTATTTTCAAGAAACTTAGAAGTACTACTAAATTTCTTGATACAATCAATATTAAAGGATCTGTTTTTTGGAACTAGCTCTATTTTGAAAATAACTAACATTGTTCCAAAATGTTGATTTGAAAAGTGTAACCCTTAGGTTCTTATTTTGTCTATTTTTAAATGTTGTGGGTCAGTAGCTACTTAAATTTTATTTTTTTAAAAAACTGATAATTTCATTGATTTTTATTATCTGTAACAAGGGAAAAAACCTCACATAATATTTGTCATGATCGTGATGGAATGCATAGTTTTATGAAACAAATCTTGAATCTGTCAAGCAGAGAAAGTTCTTTGAAAATAGCATTTGAATTTAAAGAAATAATTAATTAAGTTGAGGTTAATCACAGACAGAAAGTAATTACTAAAATGTATTTCAAACACAGTAACTGAGAGTTAATTAGAACGTGAGCTGCATTTAAAATATGAATGGAAAGTTTGGCTTGTTTCTGATGTATAAATGGAGGGCCAAATATATTTGTCAGCAATCCAGGGTTTTATCAGCCTTTTTTTTTTTTGGTAAGGTAAGGTGAAGGAAACTGAAAAATAACTTTCCAATTAATAAAATATTATTTATGTTCTAATAGATATTGCACTCTCTTTTTAAAAGAATCCTTCAAAAAAGGATAGAATATGCTTTAAAAAGCAAAACATATGAAATAGCCATAAAAGAATAATAAGAAATTGGGGTGCTAGTAGAGAAAAATAATGATGCTGGAAAATTCATTTTTCAGTTAAAAGAAAGATATAATATGGACACTATTCCTATAGTAGTCAAACTCATTAATGATCATTCTGCAATTATTATTTGTTTTATTATTGTAGTAGCATATACACAAAATAGTCTACCCCTGATTACAAAAGGAGACTAGAGACCAACTGCTAGAGTAACAGTTTCTTGTGACTGTCTGAACAAGCTTCCCCAGCAAGAGTCAGGGATGTGGATTAGGCGACAAAGGGGGGGAAGTTAAATAGTTCTTTGGTTTGTTATTTATTAGACAAAATAAATTTCACAAAAGGAGTCTGATTTCTAAGAATAAACGTCACCCTGTTTATGAGGAAGTCTAAATGGCCTGAAATGAACGTAATACAGACCCCTGAGCAGTGGTGAATGACGTGGCAGGCTGGTCAGAGGCCTAGAAGAAGGATTGAAAGATTGCAGACAAGCAGGTTAGGTGTGGATGGACATATGGACTTCCCAAAGCTCCACGCATTGGGAGAATTTTCTGTCATTGCTGTCTTTCAAGGCCACTCCTAGTGAGGAGTTGGCCATGCATTTTCGATTTGTACTCGCATATCCAGCCAACCCATCCAGAAACCAAGCCCAGGTTTTTTTCTCTGTCAGCTGGTCATAGGTATTAGCCAAAGGAGCGACACTGGTCTAACATTATCCAACATTGCTGGATAACATGGAGGGCTGGGCTCTATGCTCGTGTAGCTTGCCTTCTGATACTGCTCATGCTGTCTGGATGTACCACTTCCATATCATGATGGACTGCTGCTGGGCCCAAGCAACTTTATGACCTGATGGATCTGACAGATCCCAGCTCATGATGGGCATTTGTGGATACGTGATCAATCAATTGATGTCCCACGGTCAGAGACTCCAACTCTACCAGGGCATGCCATGTGTTGTTTTTCAAAAGGCAAATTTCATAGCCTTGTTCCAAAACCTCTGGAACCCACATGACATCCCTCTCTTGGGCTTGCCATCCAGTCCACAGGTCATCTTTACCCATCACCAATACCTCTAATACCATAGGGTCTTCCAGGTTGTATGGCCCAAGCAGCAGAACTGCTTACACCACAGTCTGGACCTGTGGCAGAGCTCTTTCCTGCTCTGGGTCCCACCAAAGCTGACAGCCCTTAGCGTCATCCAGCATATGGGCCACAGCAGTATTCCCAGGTGTGCATTAGTGGAATATGCTGCTCCATAACTCACAGACACCAACCGGGTGTTAAGCTTCCTCTTCTTGTTGTGGGAAATGCAAGATAGGATCATTTGGCTTTTATTTTGGAGTAGAAATCCTGGCATGCCTCTGTCCATAGGAACCCTAAAAATTTTACTAAAGTGAAGTCCCTGAATCTTTCTGGGTTTATCTCCCATCCTCAGGAGCACGTGTGTTTTACGAAGGAGCATGATAGCATTTCTTGCTTATCTGACCTAATTAACATAATGGCACTGATGTGGTGAATTGATGTAATGTTCTACAAGATGTTCAAATGAGAGCAGGAGAGTTAACAAAGCCCTCGGGCAAAAGTATAAATCTATATTATTGCCTATTCCATGTGAATGAGAACTCTTTCTGGTCCTCTTTTCTCACTGGAATAGAAAAGATGCATTCATCCTATCAATGGTTTTATACTGTGTACCTGAGGACATGTTGACCTCCTGTAGCAAAAATATCACATCTGGCATAGCTGCTGCAATTGAGACTACAACTTCATTGAATTTGCAGTTGTCTGCTGTCATCTTTCCAAGATCTTTGCAGTTTTTGCAAGGGCCATAATGGTGAATTAAATGGAGATTTGATAGGGACTGACACCTCTGCATCCTCTAGATTCTTAAGGGGGACACTAATTTCCACAATCCCCCTTGGGATGTAATATTGTTTTTGATTTTCTATCTTGGCTGAGTTTGGGGAACAGTTTTAAAAGCTTCCACTGGGGTATGATTACCTTCGTGCCACAAGCCAAGAACTCAATGTGGGGCTTGAGCTATTTACTTAGTATATTATTCCCAATTATACTTGCAAGGACTGGGGACATAACTGCGGGATGGATCTGAAGAAATAGTGGACCCATCACAAGGCAGAAGTTTCTCAGAACTCCGTTTATTACCTGGCCCCCAGATGCCTGTAATACAGAGAACATAATAATGGTTCAGGTTTCTGGGTATCACTGTCACTTCAGACTGTGTCCAACAGTCATCGAAATGTTTGGCTATTCTGCTTTCCCCAACACAGTATCAGGGTGACCAACTCATCCCAATTTGCTTAGGACTTTCCCAATTTAAAAAAATGTCCTGTGTTCCAGGAAGCCGCCAAGTTCTGGGAAAACTGGGACAACTTGCCACTCTAATACTTACCCAAGTAAATGACTTTTGGGGAAGGAGTGGGAAATTCATTACTGAGTATATTTGCTATTCAATTGCAATTTCCTTCCTACTAGGGACTCGGCCTCCTCTTCAGTCAGTGGGTTCTGGGTCTGAAAACTACCTCAAGTCCAGATACCTGGCACTGCATCGTGACTTTTACTTAGGGCAATTGCCCTTGGCCTCCTGATCATCCATCCTGATTTCTCATGATAGCAAGCTGAATAGAATACCCTTGTTGGACTCCCATCCATTTTGCCCCTATTGACACTCTAATTAACCATTTCTGTCTCTTAGGTCAGGCCTCCTGGCTGCTACTCTAACCCTGCCACTTATTATAATTCCATCCACATGGATTTTGGTAGGTTAGTGCTACCACCTGGCCTTTATTTGGGTCCTGTCATCCTTATTGCTATCAGTAAGCTTAGTAGTAAGAGCCTTTCCTACCACCAGCCCTGGGTTAGAGAAGAGGGCCATTACCAAACTTTTTTAGTAATGGTGGTGCCCCACACTGGCACAATGTTTATGGCTTTGGTAAAGTGTATTTTACAATCCTTCCCATGGAACATAATCCTCTGTTGGGCAACTGGCCTTACAAAGTATATTCACTCCAGCGTGACAGCTTCCATGGGTTTTTAAGTCCCTTGGTCTACTGTCTCCTATGGCGTTCTGGTATTTCAACTTCATTTGGCATTGGCCATGGCTTTTTCCGTGCCTCTAGGAGTCATCTCAGCAGTGAGTATGCACCATCACCTGGAGTCTTCGCCGAGCTGTTAAATCCAATATCACTAGAAGGCTCCCAAGTCAATAAACCCTCTCCCAGCCCAGTCTTGATCAGGCACTCTCAGAATGCAGACCCGCAGGGCTCTTCCAGTACTGGCCAATACACAATTGCTCCATCTTGCAGCTTCTTTAGGATATTAGGCTTCGTTAGCACCAGCACATCCCTGGCTGAGTTATGCTGTGACTTAACCCTAATTATATGCTTACTGGCCGTAACAGAAGGTTAAGGCAGATCCTGAAGGAGGCACTTGATGTTTCGTGGGGAGAAAACAAAACATTGCCTTGAAGCAAAGGGTGTAGGCAGCCTGGCCCTGGAGGAAGGGAGAGCTTGCTTCTGCATTTTCCAAGAGTTCAGAAGAGTTTAGGGGCTCAAAATGTTTAGGATCATCCACCCAAATGTTCTCTTCCCAAATGTCGGGATCTCATTTTTTTCCCCATCAAGCCATGATTGTGTCGTAACTAACTTGCCTTGAGTGGGCATTTAACATTTACTGGAGCTCTGTCACCCCATTAACTCCTGGTCCTCGGCTTCCACTGCCCTCCTGCTGCAGGAGAGTGTTTCTGTAAGCCATCAGGAAGGTCCATTGGCTTTCAAGCTTCGTGTTCAATTGCCCAGACCTGATCATGATCTTTTTCTAGGGTATTAATGGGCTTAACAATGGCCATCATTGCCATTGTCCTTGTAGTTAGATTCCCCAGGACTTTTCAAAGGTCTGATACTTTATACCAGCTAAGGCAGACTGTCCTCTCCCAGTGGTATACCGTCATAACTCAACAATAGAAAGAGTTTTAATAATTGGACATCCACCTTATGCCCAGGGACATCTGTGTTCCACTTCCCAATGACGGGGTCCTCATTGTCAGCTAGGCTGAAAGTAACCCACTTCCCAGACTCCAATTTATCACCTACTTTCTCAGATCCTTCCCACTACCAATTGGCATAGGTTATTTCTTCCAAAAGCAGGTGCTTAATAGAATTTGGTGTGCAAGCTATTTATTAAGCATTAACACCTGTGGAATGGAGGCAATAGATGCTATCTTTATCAAAAATTTTGGTGTTTTGTTCATCATCTCTCCTCACCCTAGTCCCTTCCCTGGGCAAGGAAAACCAAATTTGTCAGAAGGAGCAGTATAACTGTAAAGCCTTGGTCATACTCCTGCCACAATCAATCAGGGGGTGGAGGCCATCCCAGGAAGGGTGTGCTCCTGGCCCGTGGTGCTCTGCAGCTGAGGTGGACTCTGAAGAAGCTGACAGCTGCAGGCTGTCTGCTGTTTGCACTGTCAGTAGCCCAGGCAACAAGTCCTTCCTTGAAGGCTGATCTGGACAATGCATCTCCTGTGGACTGTAAGTATAGATGGAGAAAATCATTGAATTAAAGACATATTGAGAAGGTTAGTGGTAAGGGAGAGAAGGAAAAAGAAGTCTAAATTCTTTTTGTAGTAGATATTACTTGTGATCACCAATATCTGTCTCCTCTCTGGGCATTTGGGAAACAACACTTGCCAGCCCCCATTGTAGTCAGG